TGCCTGCTCCAGCTCCTGTTGAGCTCATTACATAAAACTGGACAACAGATTATGTCACGCTGCTTCCTAGTTTGCCTGTGGGTCATTCTCACCCACACATACACACACTCACACACAGGCAAGCTGGGAGCTCAGAGCTTGCAGCATGATAAGCTGAGCTACAGGCAAATGGCCAGGTGTATGCGCATAACCGTAAGATTCACACATGCCCAAGGCAGGACCGCCAGCAATAACAAAAAAACAAAAAATAAAATAAAAACAGCAGCAGCCCCAGCCTCAGCCTCAGTCTCAGTCTCAGCTCAAGCAGCAGCAGCAACAAGGGAAATACATTTTGAAAATTTAACGATGCGCACATTTTATTACCGCAATTAATTACAAAAACAACAACGCGCCCGAAGAGATCTTCAATCTCAGAGAGCCATGGAGAGAGACAGAGCAAGAGAGCCTATGGGGTAAATGAGAGAATGAGCAGCTAAAGCGTTAGATCTACTGATAAACGTTATGATAGATGTGACTAGTAAAATGCTACTACCAAATAGTTCTGGGCCGCTGCCTCGGCTCTAGCTGCGACTGTGGCTGTGGCTGTGGCTTTGGTAATTGGAGGCGCAACGGGCAGCTGCTGTTAGCCAGGGCTGCTTAATTGGCTCAGCTGCATGGGAGAGCGTTTCACTCACAGAGCGCAGCTTCAAACTCGTTTCTTGACCAATTAAATGACACAGCCAGAGAGAGAGAGGGAGAGTGTGTCTGTGTGTGAGAGAGAGAAAGAGAGAGAACGAGAGCGACGGGGAGAGACGGAGTTCAGTTGAGTGAGTGAGCGCGCGATCAGCTTCAATCACGACCTGGCTCAAAAGACGTTGTGGACCGTTGGCCGCTTTTGTAGCCGCACATTTCGTATTTTGACGCGTAGCGCGACAGACGGCTCGAACAACTGGTCTATGAACGTTAACTCAAACGCAATGGGCTTTAAGCATACGATGCTGCAGCGCAGCTACGAGCTGGCCGCCTCGCCGGGCCCCCAACTGGCAGCGGCGCCGGCAGCGCCACAAGTAACGGACTTTAGCATAAGTCGCATACTGGGCAGCTCGGCCAGCAAGGATAATGCGGCCAAGAAAACAACAGCAGGAGGCGTAACAACAGGAGCAACAGCTGCAGCAGCAACAACAGCAACAACAACAGCAGCAGCAACTACTGCCAGCAATATATTGGATCTATCAAAGAGTCGCCAACAGGCTGCAGCTCAGGCCGCAATTCAGGCAGCGCCGGTGCAGCTTAGTCCCGCCGCCTACGGCTATGCCATGCTGCCGCCGGATCTGTTGGCCATGGCCAGTGCGACCAAGTTCTATGCCCAGTTCTTTCCACATTTGCTGCCCGCCTATGCAGCGGCAGCAGCTGCCGCCGGCCTGACAACGCCGCCCACCTCGCCATATCAGCAACATCAGCAGGCACAACAACAGCAACAACAGCAACATCAGCAGCAGCAACACGCGCAGCAGAAACGCTACTTTGCGCCGTATGTGATCAATGGACAGAGTCCGACGCGCTCCAAGTCCTCCAGCGCCTGTACACGCGCCGACTGTCTGGAATGCCTGGATTATTATAAGCAATTCGGCGCTGGCTATAAGCCCACGCCTCTCATATCGCCGGCGGCTTCGTCGGTGAGCAGCTCTAGCAGCTGCCGGCTGCCGTCGCGTGAACTCCTGCTCAGCGCGAGCGCCAGCAGCAACATTTCCCTGACCAACATCTCTGTGACCAATCTGAATCTGAGCAGCACGGCGGCAGCGACTGCGATTTCACCTGTGGCCATGTTGCCCAAGTTGAGCAGCAACAACAGCAGCTCCAACGCCAACAACAACAACATCAACAACGGCAACAGCAACACAAGCGGCGGCGAGGAGATCAGCTACAAGTGTCGCATATGCGACAAGGTCTTTGGATGCTCCGAAACGTTGCAGGTGAGTTGAGAGCAGAGCAGACTCTAAAGAGTGGGCGTGGGTGGGTGGGTTGGCTTGCCTGGAAAGTAGAACCCCTATAAATGAGGATATGCGAGGTGGCTATGCACACGTGTAGAGTTAGTGAGTGGGCGTGTTTTGTAGTAAACGAGATTAGTTATAAATCCGCATATACGAGGTTGCCTTGAAGAGATTTTGATCTGGAGCTTGAATACATACACAATACAAAATTCATTTTATTTCATTTAAAATTTATATTTTATTTGTCCAAAAGGAAAATCTATACATACATCGTATGAATTAGTAGAATATCAAATTTCAATGGCATGATAAATTAAAGGGTTTCTTTTAAAAGTACAAAACTTAATATTTAAATTTTATAATTTAATATTTCTTGGGCTAATTTTTTAATTAAAAAATTAAAAAACAAATTTTTTACTGACTAGTATT